CTGGCGATGAGCAGGAGCCTGCGCACACTGTTGACGGTGGCGTCAAGTGAGAGATACAACAGCTCCAGTGTACATATGTTTTGCAGTCAGAGATGAAGAGATCGTTAGGTAGGAGGCTTGGAGCATCAGCCAGCCTTGACAATCTACTTTCAGGTGACTCCTGAGCAAATTAGCAGTCCTTACACTTTGTGCTCACACATTGACCTAGGAGGTTGTGTTCGGTCAGCACATGTGGGGAGACACAATTTCCAGGTTCTGAATTTGTCCCATTTGGTGCAGACGCTTAGTAATAGTTGTCTGGGTGACTCCTAGCTGAGGTGCAAGCTTTGGGTGCGCTTTTGTTGAGCCCTAATCCAAGAGAGCTTGCAATTCGGCATCTTCAAACATTCGAGACTGCTGTCTGGGGCGCGGCCAGTCACTAAGATCAAAATTACCACTTCTAAAATGTTTGTACCAATAATTTCACAAGACAAGAATGCTACAAATTGATTTCCCCACACTTTAGAAGCATTTTTTCCCTGTTGGAACTCGTGTGAAATGCAGTGGCATCGAATGTGGTGTTTATCAGTAGCCATCATACACACGGCTATTCTGAGGGGTAATGTAACTTACGCAGACTTGTCTTGCGGTGTTCTAAACCTTGCATTCGAGCCTTTCAAAACCACAAAGCATCGTGAAAATATGTCTATTTTAAATATAAGTTTAAGCTCGAAGAATAAGTCTGTACAAATTAAATCCTACAGCTAATATTTGCTGTTGATTAAGTGTTGGTGCACATCGGAATTGCAAACTATTCATACGGTGATAAAAAAAAAGGTCGAAAGCCTTGTGAGAGGCCAAGAAAAACCTGTTTTTTTCCTTTCACACAACAGATTATGATGCACCCACAAATTAACCTACTAGGCGAGGCAACAGAGCACAGATCATCCCAATCTGAGCCCAGTCTTTGTGCTTTATCCCTAAACTGCGTGATCGGGACAGCGGGAGCAAGCATTAACTTGCAAGGATCGTGGAAGCAAGCCTTCAGCCGCCCACTCAGCACAAACCGTGCCCATCACAGAGGTACGCAGGTAATAGTTGCGTGTTCAATGAGGGGCTTCCACACATCGTTGATGGTGGTGTCAAGTGAAAGATGCGACGTTTATCTTGATTCCTCAATGATGAGAGACTGATTCATCAGAGGTGAACAGGACGAAGCTGCCATCTCCACCGGCATGCTGATGATCTTCGCTTGGTGGCAGCTGTAGGTGAGCAGGTCTGAACGCGTCTCCACTTGTCCGTCGTGTGGTCATCTCTATGTGTTGATTTGTCTGATCTGCACTCACTTGCAAAGTACAAGTTCCCTGAACGAGGTTCTGTCGACCAATCATTGCGGACCTGAAAACGCAACCGTTGCGACCTTGACCGTTCTTCAGTTCCTAGGGGTAACACTGGTAGGCTCTTTGCTACTCATCGGTTATAAATAGAATATCGAATCACTTGTTCATTATACTTGTTGTACCAGGTCGAGGAACCTGGAGAATACTTTAGTTAGCCGTAAATGGATGGAACCCTTATTTTGATGTACATACCCACATAGACCGCCGCTTTTGTTAGTTAACGTATGGTAGAGAGAAGGTAGTGTCTAAAAATGAAGGATTAACGATCAGCACAGCCGACTTTCAAGGTGCTCGGGATATTTTCGATCAGGAGGTGCTGCAGGTGGTGGATCTGATTTGACGCAACTCAGCATTCTCTCTTCGACCAAGGTGTGGGACGATAGGCTTGTAATTCTGGCACAGCATGCCCCACTGAACTCTGATTGGATTGTCGTGAATCGTGTTTATTCAACCCCTTAATCCGGTCGCTCCACCTCCAACACACGGTCCCCCTTTTCGCAGCATGCCGCTAGCCGCGCGGATCCTCAACTCTCCCTTCGTTAGCACGAATATTTATCTTGGAGTATCCCCACACCTAGGTCTCGATGTTAGCGCATCTATGACTCATGCATCTGATGTATAAATGCACACTCGCAAACCACACACGACACAACGACACCAACGTGGTTGACCTCTGAAGTAAACGGCTTGGTCCACGTCCTCTCCGACCTTTTTCTTCATCGCAAATATCAGGCCAGGGTTAATTCCGTGGCCCCGGCGTGGTTCAAGACCGCATGCTGGGGCCCACAGCAGGATCAAACGCTTTCAGTCTTCCCAGACGCCGACAGAAATGATCTCGCAAAACATTTTTGTAAGGCACTGTGCGTTGTTGCCTCTCTTGTCTCCGTTCTCGAGCTGCTACTAGCTGTCAACTAGCAGGGTTGTAAGGTGGTTCAAACAAGCTAATATAGGAGTAATCCAACATTAACAAAAACCAACCTGAAAAATGTTTTAATAACCGATATAATTGTCCCTGGTGTGGACAAAGCAATTACATCCCAAAAGCATTACTTCCACGTAAATGTTTGGGTCCGCTCGCCACGATACACTACGTCAACAGTTTCTATCAGCCTGTAATCAACTAGTTGTTTTAGTTCGAAACCTCCAATCAACATTCAAAACTGTGATTGCTAGTCATTTGTCGGAAATTCGTTGAAAGGAAAGGCTTTAGTCGTCTAACGCATCAACCCAGCAAAATCAGTGCCATTTTTATGTTCATCGGCACATTTCATATTACAAGACCGGTGCCATATCTCGCGAATATGGGGCTGTTTACTCAAAGGATTTCGAATGACTAACTCGTTAAAAACATCAGCCATATTAGTTGGTTTATGTACTTTAAACTCCTCCCTAAGCCAAAAATCGCGAAATTGGTTGCTTGGGTCAGATATTTCATGAATTTCGCCTTTTTAACTCGCAGCGGTTTCGCTAAACTGGAATAAAATTGTAGATTTAAAGCCGCATATATTACAATTCCTGAACTTAAAATGTCACTTTCATTGCGTAATGCTTCTCCGACAAACCGCCCATAAATCAAGCGGACCGCCTGTTCATACACCGCCCCTGTGTATGTACCTCTCTCGCTACTCACTCCATTCATCCTGCCATTCAGTCATTTGTACTTCTAGTAGTTCATCCAAACTGTACCGGTCAACAACCGCAGTAGACATACACGACTTTGAATAGACACACACGCAGCTAGAAATCAACGCGCTTTAGGCATCTGGTAAACCACTGTGTCTCCGCCATTGCCGGTCTTCTTATTCCCTCCAGGTAGCTGTTTAGCGTACTCAAACCAATACAAGTCATCTGTAGCCATGAACAGGCTGTCTTGAAAGCCTATTGGCCGGTAGCACCCAAAGAACCAGATAGCAATGAAGATGGCAAGAAGTCGATAGGTCCAAGTGAACACGACCGCCTATTCATCCTCTGAGCATGATGCCTCAGAGCATTAGTAAACAAACGACCAATGAAAGGCAAAGATGAGTCCCAGACACCCATCAGACTGCGGTAAATGCCTTCGGATAAACTTCTACGCACATAAATCCGTCAACACTTCGCCAAGGTTACATTTTTGTAGCAACATGTTAGTCGCAGACATATTGGACCACGGCGGCCTCTGTCTCTATGCCTTCGAATGGTCTGCGAGGAATATATATATACAGCCAACCAGAAACAGACACGTATGAGAAGCAGTATGCAATGAGCGGCGCCTGGCATATGGTTCTGGCCTATGATTGGTCAATAAAACCTGTCCTGTTGTTGCAGTCCCCTTCAAAGTAGGGCTCGGGTATTCTACACTTTTATCGATCAATGATGCAATAGATGCTAGATGTATTTATGTGCATTCTTACCCAAAAAAGCCCTTTTTGTGGCTGAGTAGATGATGGGGCTTTGGAGTCTTGACGTCTGAAATCACGCCAAAATTGTGGAGAAGACAGTAAGTGCTTTGAAAATGAACAAAACCTAGACGACAACAATCGTTGAAAGCTACTAGAGGTGGCTGGGGGTAGGCTGAGCAGAGAAAATATCCTTACGAGAAGTTAGTAGTTTTGATTACGAAGATAGAAACCAGTGTTCATTCACGAAAATATGACTTTTAGAGGCAGGATAAATCTGGAAATTTGGTAAATACCACTCAAATTTACTAAGTACACACCTTGACGTACAAGTCGAAAATTTTGCCGTTGACCCCCACCCATCAACATGTGTTTCCATGTTAGCTGTCGCGTGAATCGGCTGTAGGTGTCTTGTTCCAACATGGATTTAGACGTTTCATAAAGTGCTATCAAATCAATCGAAAAATAATGCAGTCCACTGAATTCGTCTGCACTTTGTAAACACTACAAGGTGATTGGTAGAGGCGTGCGCCTGCAGCTGCCGAGTTTAGCGCCACCGTACAACCCTATAGTTAACAGTCGGTCACAACCCGAGAAGAGAGTCGACAGAGAACAGGAGCACTTATTACCGTCACACCAGTCAAGTAATTAATGCTTTTATGTTTGTACAGAATAACAAGTTCGTTTATATGGCTTCGCGAAGTATCGATCTCCGAACGAACGGAGCTGTGTTCACGAGAATCGATTGAATAGTGTTCCCTCAAGCTTGTTAACTGTGCCAGCCTGCTGCTCGCCACACGCTTTCAAGCCCAGAATGGCACGTATTGTCACAACCAACTTTTTACGACTTTTGCAAGTAGTTCAACAAATCCTGCACAGGTGACTGCGTGAATTTTACCCATGCAATTGGCCCGAAAGTTACTTCCGTTCAAAATTTGTGTTTTGTAAACGTATTATTTTTAACAATGTGGAAATTTACTGGGGGTCTGTCCTGTATTAGTGCACAACACAATACATCCATATAGAGTCATTTAGTAAACGTTTGAGCCTTCGTCGTCGTGGGCTTATCCTTGTCCAATGGTGCAGCGGGTGGGCCCAGTTTGGCGTTTTAGCGTCCGTGCAAGCATCCAATCATTTGCCACCGCAACCATGCTAAATCACATAGACGAGTCTAAGCACTATTTCCATTGGTCAGTGCTGAACACGTGACTGACAAATCAGCCTTGTCAGCATGCGCGCACGTATGGCGATTATTTGGGACTTCGCTCTCACGATGTACCGTGTTGCGCTCTTTCTGACATTAACTATTATAGCTGTTGTTGGGACTTTACATGACGATGAGAATATCCGAGCCCGTTTTGAACAGCCACTAGGAGGCATACAGGAGCTCACAGAAGCCGCTTTACAAAGCGACGAAGCTAGGAAACGCGTGGAATTAGCACTGGAACATCTGTCCAATCAAAAAGTGGGATGTTTGAAACATCGACCAATCAAAATACGCAGTGGTAGCCGTCAGGTGGTGAATGGATTTATTTTCGTTTTCGTCGTGGAAGTGGAGAGTTTTTCGGTTGGTGAGTGTGACAGTGCACCAGGCGTTTCAGAGGTCTATAAAGTGACGATCTACGAACCTGCCGCCAGAGATCGCCAGACGGAATATTCCTTTGAAAAGCTTTCAACTACTGAAACCTAGAGATATTTTTCTTCCTCGACTTGCAACCTCCCGTTCTATTATACCATCCTTAAAACCTTAAACCAATGCAACTCACAATACATTAATATAGAAGAATAAAATGTGATTCGTCATAACGTTTGAACTACAGCCTGCGGAACGGTTTTTCGAAGCGGTATAAATGTACCGGCACCAAGTTTGGTGGACAAAAGCAATTTGGGACGGAAAAGCGTTTGTATTGAAAATGTCCGTTGCTTGAAAATCGCGAGATGAATGACGAATGTGTTTAAATTTCAACTACCTGTGTATGAGGGCGTGAAGGGCGAGGCCTGACTACACAATCAGTTGTTTGCTGTCTACGTCACGTGAATCAATAATTTACCCAACGAGATAAAGGTAATCCTGTACATGAATCGTGAATTTAGCTGTGTTTTAATCCTACCCTACCCATGTAATCGTCCCTCCGAGGGGATGGTGAATGAACGGTTTGATTATCCATTCAACAGTTCAGATACAAGCATGCATTAATTAGCAAGCCTAAGTAATTAACTCGTAGCCAATGAATGCCGCTTGTGTGGCGTTTTGTCATCGATTATCAATGCGATTGGATGCTCTTGGATTTTCGGCGTGGCAATCGATAGCCAACGCGAGCAAACGTGCCTGGATTTACAGTGCAGCATGATGAAATCAATCTTTTACATGTCTACGAAAATAAACTCAAAAATGATCAGTTGCACAATAATGTCGGTAGCCATGTACATGAATGAATTGGGCCTAATTTGAGATGAATGCCAAAGATTGACCGTAATTTTTTGGGTACCAGATAAGGACTGAGCGAGAGTGTGAGTAAAGGTTGTTTAACGAATACTCATGGAGTGAGTCATAGATTGGGTGCTGCTCAAAAAGTTGTAACATGGCGAACCAATGATCCATTTGTCATCGACCAAGGACACTCGGGTGTTGTACGCTATCGCGGTCTTGGGTGTGAAGCGCAAAATGATTGGGGTAAAAGCAACACATTTATTTAGTTTAAGCTTAGCAGTAAATCTGCTTATTCCTTCATTCATTTAAACAGGGTTGCCATGGCAGTGAAGAGCCTTGTCAAGCGTGCTTCAGCGTCTTCGGGTGACGCTGTTTAATGATTGATTGCCAGGTTCGGCACGCTTTGACGCCATGCTATCCTGTGAACCTAATTGTGGACTTAGCAATGAATAAACAAGCCAACTAACCCAAAGCGCGAATCGTGATTGTTTTGCCACATAAACTGAGCACGTTGCCTTTAACAACGTGCCTTTGAATCAGGAGCAGAGGTTTTCAACAAGGTAAAATTCTGTAATTCACGTTAAGCATTGAGAGAAAAGTGCAAATTCTCTTTACCTTAATTAATTTTACCCATTTAAACCATAATTACGCGGCGGTAACTACCCTAGTTATTCATGTTAATATCTTTACTTTAGGCAGCAAAAACCAATTCTAAAAATCGCCAAATCTAAAACAAGAATTTGGTCTTGAGGTAAAGAAGACACGTGATTAAAGGATTGGCAACCTCGGATAGCCGGTTTTAGCGCTAGCGACTGCTCCCGCGTTTCCTATTGGTTTACCAAAAAGTCAACCTTGGACTGTTGTTCACGTGCGATTGGTTAAGGCGAAGTGACGCGCTAGCAACGCCTTGGCTCCGTCATTGGACCTCAAGGCATGTCGTGTAAGGGTGTGTACATGCTCCTCTTCGTCGGCCTATTTTTGGCCTTTTCGGAAGCTCAAATGGGACTTCTTGGCGGCCGAAGGCGAATGTCGAGAGAAAGACTAGATTCTCAGGAAATCCAGGAGCTGGTTAGGGCTGCTCTTAAATCCTCCAGTCCTTGCTCCGAACTAGTGGAAATTGTCGATGGGACTGTGCAGATCGTCAGCGGCATAAAGTACCAATTCAGCGTAAGAACAGCTCCAAAAAGTTCGTGCGGTTTTGCTGATGAAGGCAACCCCGTCTCCAGACTGATGATTTACCTGCCAGCTGGTCGAGGCTCCAGGCCAGTCTACTCCACCGCTTAAGGGTCTTCCATCTACCCATCCAATCAGAACACACCACTTTTAACTAGATCTACCGTTTTTCATAAAATCTAGAATTTGTCTGGTAAGTTTGTGCTATACACATTTCCCCAATTCAATTAATTTCAAATCTGTTAAATCATATATCGCTACATTCTGTGAGAACTTTTTCTACTTCATGGTGATGCTTGATGCTCGGGAATTGCTGGTCCAGTTGGCGGGATGTCAGTTAATTCATTCTAGAATGCTGTTCGATCAAATTCAACAGTGCGAGCTACTAAAAAATATCTGTTCTTCACGGAATATGAAACCGCCTAGCTGGTCCTAGTTGTTAAAATTTGAAATGGATATCGAAGTAAACATTGATGCCTCCTATAACCATGACAACTCAATGGAAGATCGATTTGGCATGTGTTCCACGATTTTAAACAAGCTGCGTGGCGTGGGATTGGTTAGAGGCCGGGTTGTGCTTATTGTCTCATGTTGGCTTATCCGCGTGTTATCAGATTATCTGTATAGGCTGTGGTTTAACTGAAGGGTCATTGCATAAGTTCGTGCCATATTTTCGAACATGGCCGAAGGATGCACTTTTGGCTGTACTAGTTGTCTTTAATAAAAAAATATTATCTAGTGATACTTATTCAAATGTGCACAGAGTCAATATAACCCGTAAAACAGCCCGTTTCTGTAGGGTTAATAGCTAAAATGGTAACTAAAATTACACTCCCATTATGCTACGTTGTAGGATCGTGCTCCTGCTCTTAGACCAGATAAATTTTGTCTATAAATTTCCATTTCTTTAATCTAAACAACTATCTCGGCTCTGGACGACTTTGCGGAAATGACGATGACTTTATCCATGATTGAGTGAATGTTAATTCTCAGATTAGCACTGAAGAGGGTATTGAGAGTGGCTACATGGTGACAATTCAGCTGCATTTTGCAATTTAAAGCAGCCGTGGATAAATTTTGAAATCCATCATCACGTCTCTCAGTGTAGAGTGAGACGGATCGGGTGGATTGTTTGTATCATCGAAGGTTCGCCGTCGTATTGCGCGTGATCACATGACGAAGATGTTGACGACAGCTGCAGGCGGGCCTCAGACACAACCAATTACTGGCCCCTTGAAGTTACAATTTGGTACGAGTTTCATTTAAAAGACGGAAAACCACTGATCCCCAAAAATCAAGTAGCACAAGAGCCAAGTTAATGCGATCATTCAAGGAAGAGACAATGTGAATAGGGTCGCGTGACGTAGTCATTTTTCTCCAGTTTTCTAGCAAAAGGTGATTTGCTTTGTGTAAATGCAAGCCACTCAAAATCGAACGACTCCATTGGTGTCAATCACGTATTCCAACCTTTTAGGGATGGAAGAACGTAGATTCTTGATGACCCTCGGAGATGATGAAATTCAGAGTAGAGAATCGATTTCTTTTGAAATCGAAATGCAGTAAACGCGATTGCATATTGGATTTCAAAGATAGGAAGTGACTTTCCTTTTAGGTGCTTGAGTTCTAGTTGTTACACCGTTTTTTAACGACGTAACGAACTAAAGGCAGTTGTTTTGGTGCTTTATTCAGGAAAGATTCTGATTGGTATATTTAGGGTTATGTGTAAGTTCAGAGTTGCTCGTAGTTTTAAGGTCACCTCCCAGACTTCAGGACAATTTTTAAAAGGTTTAAGCAATGTTCACATTGACTTGTGGAGCGACGGTTTAGATTCTCCTTAAAAGTACCGATTGAGTGAACTTTTGGACTGGTGACTAACTCGCGATTCGACTGGCCCTACTGGTTCATTAAAATTAGATTTACAGAACTGAAAATCAGCGACGTTAGATTAGAGCTTATGCCAAGAACGAAGAAGTAAGATTGTTTTATTCCTGTGTTATTACCACTCAGATAATACCAGTTTCGTAAATGCCCACATACGCGTGTCATTAGAGAATTCCAGCGTTTACACAACCGACAGTTTAATCTAGTTGGTGCTAGAGTGCAGAGTTCCCGAACCCAGTCCACGAATGCAACAACATGCAACCTCAAGTAAAATATTAGGGTGACGAGCTTACATTTTTTTCTGAATAAATGTGACGCAAAAAGGCAGAAAAGTGTGTTTGTATTCAATTTGCAATGTGTATTTTATGAGTGAGCGTTAATTTTTCAGAATGAGTTAATTAATCATTTTATACCAAAATGAAATTGTGTTTTATGCAAATAGTAAAATTAAACAAGCACTGTAAGGTATAGAATATTCTATTCAGTTAAAATCATATGCTCAAAGAGAATTCTGATTTGCAAATGAGAACACAAATTAGTATATTCATATACATGATTAGCATTGGTCATCTAGAAAATCGTGAAATGAATAACTAACTTAAACCTATGTGTTTAAATTGAAAAAAAATAAAATTATCCAACTAGGAATTTAAATACTTACACCAAGGAAATAATGACATTTAGGCCTGCTCCAACATGGTAAATGCTTGATCAGAGGTTTTAAAGTAAAACAATTAATTGCTGAACTTCCTAAGAAAGGTTCGGTTACGTGTATGAATATCAACAGATTATTTCGGAAACAATTCAAGTGGTTGCGAAATCCTAGGACACGCAGCATTAGAATTACGCTTAATTTTCTTTTTTTAAAATTTCGACGGTTAAGATGGACTGTCTCAAAAAGTATTAAGTAAAGTGAAATTACTAGAAGGTCTGTCAATGCATTGTAGGGGACATGCATCTTTGATGAGCCATTAATTATTTATATAAGAGAAAAAAATTCAACTGAAATAGTGATTAGGAGCGGAAAACTGAAAACCAGAAATTAGTGGTTAATGGTATATGAGGCAACTGGTTATGTGCATCTTTCTTCAGTGTACATGGTATCTGGCATCCGATCTAAGGTGTATACTAATAATCTCACTATGTGAAGGCAAAAATTTGTATTCACAAATTAAAATTAAGTGACTTAAACATACCAAAGTTTCAAATTAGCAATTCATTACACTTTTAATGTCTCGCTGATTGAAACATTGCGAATTAGCCAATAGGAATGATTTCCCGCTTTTTACCTGCCGATTTGTAGCCTTCACTTCAAAGTTCCTACCATGATGGTGGGCTTTACCCTTATTTCTTGCTTTAAATGTTCTCTGCTACTCTACTTGCCCACCATAGGGATTCGTAGGCAACAGGATTTATATTTTTAATTCCGAGCATACTGTATGTGATTTGGTAGTTATGGGTTTTCTTAATTTCCCTCCATTTATTCGTTCCTTATCTTCCATGACACGCTAACAATTCGATTCTCAGCATTCATAGTTAATTAACGTGGTGGAAGTAGTTTCTAGTTGTTCTTAAATTATGCTGAGAACTGGGTCGTCATCTGGTGGCGTTCATAGCCTTCATGTTTCCGCTTTGATTAATCACGATTTTCCGATGGTTGATGCATGAGGAATTATGTCCAAAGCTTTATATTTACATTGTGACAATTTAATCACAGGAAGCAGTTTCCTAGTTTGTGAGCAGAATTTAGCATTTTCCTCTCACAATTAGTCGCAGCAATTGAAAGATAGAAGCTAACAGCCATCGTAATGACAGTCGGGTCAGTCCATTCCTAAATTGACGAATAACTTCACATTCATTTTACCGCTCTCTTGAATGTCAGACATTGTGTTGACTTTGCGTGTCCCAGTTTATCATGTCATGGGTATAGGTGATTCACATCTTCTAAGTTATGCTATTAGTGTTGAGTTTCTCAGCGCTGGGGCCGTAACTCGCCCTACTCACGAAGACGAGAGGCGTTTCGTAGTTGCACTATTTGTGAATTACACTAATTGTTAGTGAGACATTGGTTATTTGGACGATGAGACTTTAAAGGCTATCGTGTATGCTTTTCTTCGGGATTATGAAGACGGCCTTTGTGGTAGTTTTTGCTAATTTAACTTGAAATGACCACCCACTTTGTCTCATTTGCGTTCTGGGCCTTCGCGCCCACACATTGTTATTAAGCTATCCCGTATCCAGTACAAACCCAGTTCAATGACGAAACATCGAAAAGGCCAGTGGCTTTCACGTTTAGCATTCCTTCTTTCACACAGTCAATAAGTCAATAGTCTTCATAAGTCAATAGTCTGATGCGGTTCGAACGCACAAGTTTGAAATTGATTAAAAGTTGGGTTCCTCCTGCAAGTCAAGCGCTTTGTTAAGTTTTTATGTCATTTCTTGCCTCACCTTTCTGTGGCACGTTTTACAAATTTTATGCCGTGGCATCCTCTTTGCTTTCAACACCAGAGTCATCAATTCACATTCTCCCTAAATTCGAAGTGCTGTGGTTGTCTTTATTGTGCTAGAAGGATAAATTCTACACGATGATGACCACTTGCTTATTGAATCGCTCCATTCCTCCGGCAAGATTGTTTTATCATCCGCACGGTTTCGAGAAAATTTTTGAAACTTGCTCTGTCTACCGAAAATTGGTTCTCCCAGCCATGTGGAACCCTGTCGCATTGAACCCTTTTAGGCGGACGACGTGGTTTCAAGGCTTCAGAAGTACAAGGAACAAACCAAGACTGATGGCGAGACTCTGGTTCGAACAGTCTTTCCCAAACGTGTCTTTGAGATGGAGCAACTTCTAGCCACGAAACTCTTCAACTTCCGTAAGTTATGCTCCGCATCGCATCGCACTGCCTACTCACCTCTTATTGAATACGGTGAATTTCAGTGCTTCCGCAATCTGTCAGTCATCTTGTAAACACGCCTGGTTAGCCAGGAACCAGGTCACCGAAAAAGTAAACAGGGGATTTCTTAAAATCGGTCTATGTGTCTACATGTTAGCTGAGGGAATCTTGGTTTTCAGTAGTTCTGTCGTTGTTTCCATTTCTAAAACCCGAAAATCTGTATGAATTAAATCGACGTGTAGGCCGTCTACCTTCCTCACCTTTTAACTCCCATTGCGTTTTTCCCCACCCGTTGTCTTTTGACTCCATATGCGATTAAATCAATATGTACCCTTTAACGCAGCATCATCTGCCATCTACAAGAAAATCAATCTCCCAGTGCCTCTGATGGGGGACAGAAACGGCTCAGTAGAGACCTGCGACTCGGATGGGGACAAGGCTTCAACCAAGCCGCCCGGATGTCCGGTCTACACTTTTCCCGGAGGCGTTGTACCCCACAATGAGCACATTAAGGAGATGATTGAGGTGAGCCCTCAGTCTTGTATAACTTTGCAAGAATGCCTGCTTTTCCTATTGGTGGCCTTCACAATGTGCTAATTTTGCAATGTCGGAAGATTTGTTTACGCACCTCTATTATCGAGTTCATGATTGCGCTGGTTGTTATTGTTAATATGTCTCGTCCTCGCGCGCCACCAAAACACCCCCAAAATAGGCAACCAAAGTCGTGTGTGGGGCACTAGTTTTGCGTCTAACCGGGAGTTTTGCACTACAACGCTATCTCCCAAGAAGAACTCGCACTTGTTACGCGGCCGCTTGGAACACCAACTACTGTCGGTCTCAGTTGCGCTTGTGTTCGCCTCGTCGAATGCCTCGCACTGTCCGACCAGTGGATTTGTCTTCTGGCCAAAGCACATCGACGGCCCCACACACTTAGCAAGGTATGAGCGGAGACTCCCTTCCAAACAAGTCCTTCGACAAGTAGATTTGTGCGCAAAGCATTTACTGTCCTAGAAGACGATTGGCTGGTGACCCACCTACTTTCTTTCCTTTAGACAACGAAGCCTCACCTGACACAGTTAATGGTTGAAGCCCAATTAGTACGTCTGTGGATTCAATTCAACGTGCCCAGAATCGAGGACGGCAACAACTTTGGCGTGGGGATTCAAGAGGAGGTGTTGTCTGAGGCCTCTGGCATCGAAAGGGACGCCCTCACCTTTTTGGACCAATTCACCAGGTCAGTGTTTCGGCGCCACTTAAAAGGTCTTATTTGAATCGCACAGAATTGCGTTACTGTCGCTCAGATATTTGCGACTTGGTGTCGCCTGTGTTGTCGAATCTTAGTCTTTCTCTCTCTCGCACACACACAGGTACTACGCCTCCCGAGGAAAGTTGGTGGGAAAAGCGGCTAAGTTTCCTCACATTGACGACTATCGCGAGTGCATTCGCGACATGGACGAGAAACAGGCCATTTCTATGCGCTACGTCATCATGGAGATCCGCAACCATTATGTAAGTTAGTTGCTAGAACTCATGTGGCTTACGAAACCACCGCTACCACCCGACCCACCAAAAATGGCTTAGTCGGAAGTAAGACGAGTTATGTCACGATTGGTAAAACATGTTTACCAACGGCCCTGAAAACATCTACCACCATGACCTTTGATTATCGCGGGCCACGTTATCTTGTAGTCTGCCGTTTTGTATAGCTCACAGGACGAGTTCATGCAGGAGGTTTAGCTCGTCGATATCTGAAGGGGCATGCACGCAGGTGTCCACGTTTTTAAGCCGATTTAATCATTACCTCTCTAAGATATTTTCCCAAAATTGCTCCGCGATGCTGTTGGTTCTGGTGTTGCGTAGGATCGTGATGTAAATTTTGCTTTAAACAGGGGCACAGTGGCACGGGCCTCGATAACCGTTTCATCTCTGGTGTGATGCTGTTGTTCAGTCTCAGCTCGATTAGACCAATTCTAGTTGTGCAACGCAACAGCTGTTTCGTGCTTTTTTTTCTCTGTGAACGAATTAACTTCACGTAAGCGTGTGAAGGCTGGGCAGACAAGACTACGCCTTGGTTGTGGATGGAAGGTTTAATGCTTGTAACGACAACTGTTTAGAGATAGAGATGACTTTGTAGCATTTGATGTGCAATACTCAGTTCTACCATCAACGTGAACGCTTCAACAATGGCTGTGCATGCCCTCCATCGTAACCGATTCCCCAGTTCCCACTTACCCGTCTTGCAAGTGTTGACGCGTCTCCGAACATTCGCGCGTGGATTTGCATCGCCTGGCTTTGTAGCACAATAACGATGGTTTGGACCCGGTCTAGATCCCAACCAAGTCTTTGAAGATTGCCATCCAAGTCTGCCACGATGCTTTCACGCAGCCTCAACTCTTCATTACTAACCTGCCTGCTCACTTTGTCGTTGTAGGCCGTCCTGCACGATTTGATCGTGAAGAACATTGACAGGATCAAGGTTCCCCGATCCAACAACACAATGACCATGTACTGAGCAGCATTATCGGGACAAAAGTGGATACACATTGGCCTCCCCAGATCATGAAGTGCTTTGTATGTTAAAAATGCCAATCACACTCCTCTGACATTCTTTCGTTGAAGTACTTTGCCAAGTTGGATGGTCAGTGGTTTCGTAGTGGTATTTTTGGTAAACGCATCTCGCAGCACGGGTGTTTAGGCGCTGTTTGAACGAAACGCGGTCCCCATGTGCGTTAAGTGCCCCATCTGCTGTCTTTGACTCGTCGTTCGAGATGCCTTAATTCTATGTTTTACAAGTCGCTTCTGAGGCATGTAAAAACGCCAGCTCAAATCTCCATGTTGCTTCCCCACGAGAGTGGTGTAAACAAAACTTATTTAAGAATATTTAGTCCTCGGAAAAGATAGACGTTCCTTGATTGGTTAACTGAGGGGAATGAAAGTTACGGACGTCCTATAGAAGAGTCAGGGCACCAACGGGGCAGATGAGAACAACATGGCAGGTGGTGTTAATGTAAGTCATGGAGTGACAGTGGGGAACAACCAGTAAATGTTCGATTAAGGGATTCGGTGGGTGGTGAACGCCACTCGACTTGTGGACGGTGTGGTGTTCGTTCTCTGTGGACTCGAAGTCGTCTCAGCTCAAACCCTAACCACTACTTTCATGTCAAACAGAGGCTCGGGATCATTCTCATCCTTGGTGACATCTAGAACCAATTTTAATGTGGAGTGCAAAGGAGGACAGTTTGTTTGGAGTTGACTTTACCAGAACGAAAGCGTGTGAATGGGCTTAAGAACTTTCTCAAACATCGTTCTCGTCCATCTACTAGAGTTCGTGATGATTAAATCAGTCATCGTTTACTCAGATAATGAGCGAAGAGCTGCATTTGACCTTGTACACAACTCGACACTTGGGTTCAAAATGAGCAGATTGAAGTTCACCTAGAGGTATTCAATCAGCATTTGCTGAAAACATCTCAAACGTACTGAAGGGGTCCATTTCACGAAACGAATATTCACTTCTGGTGATAACTGGACCATCCCCTAGGTAAAAATTACTTTAAAAAACGGTTGAGGTGGAATGGTACTTTCAAGGAACTAGACTACCATTTCAGATGCTTACTGACAACATGGTGAGTGTTACACGTGGCGTTGATGTAAGGCGCAGGGTGACAGCAGAAGGCAATGAGGAAACAATCGATTTAGACCTTGACTGTGCGGTGAAAGCGCATCGGCTAGGCTAATCCTCCTCTTAGCTTAGATTCTAACTAGGACACTCATTTCAAAATTGTAAGTACGAGATCGCATGCACCTTTGGATCAATTGCTGTGCGACTTGAGT